TCCCTCCAGGGAACGATTAGGGGGGTTCCGTGATTACATAGGGGAGGTATACTGCATTCTGGGGGGCTCCGTGTATGATTTTGGTCAAAAATGTTGCATGTCACCAGAAAAATAAAAACTCTGCGGCTATCGACGTATCTCGACGAGGCGGTCACGACCATCGTTGTTTCACGTTCCAATTTTTTTTCAAAAAAAAGTTATCGCACAAAACGTGATTGGACAAATTGTTGTGCACGGACCATANTTTGGTCAAAAATGTTGCATGTCACCAGAAAAATAAAAACTCTGCGGCTATCGACGTATCTCGACGAGGCGGTCACGACCATCGTTGTTTCACGTTCCAATTTTTTTTCAAAAAAAAGTTATCGCACAAAACGTGATTGGACAAATTGTTGTGCACGGACCATATTTCTATTGTTGTTGTTGTTGTTGTTGTTGTTGTCTTCACGTTCAAAGCCGTTCCGATCTCTCTCTACCCAGTACCTTCGTATGTCCGTACTGATACAACTCTCGACGCGGTCGATTCCCGTGGTCGCAGGCTAACTACCCTAAAAAGGTACACTCAAATATAATGGCCCCGAGGGGTCCGCAAGTCAATAGAAATCACCCTGACCCTATAGTAGCCTACACTCGCACAATAACCCTACTCAGCTTCGGGTGCGGGACAGCTACCAGTGTGTGTGGCGGGGACGCGTGTGTAGAAGCACACGTGTCCCCGTCAGGTCAAGATCGATTCGGGGAAGATCCAAGCAAAGATCGTGCATATCCTGCACGGGTCGGGCTACACGGGCTTTGCAGCAGCTGAAAACCGCAGGCAGCAGCTGAGGAAACGACAACAAGCACAGTGGGGGGGAAGTAGAGACAGAAACGACAGCACAGACAGCATCGACCGGAGTGCGGTGGTGGCACGTGTTCACAGACACACACAGGGTGGTGCCTGTCCCGTCGACGTGCTTGCTTTGCGGAAGATCCAAATAGAGTTGATCGGAGATTTTGCGAAAAAGTCGGCCAGGAAGGTTTCCGAGGAAGAAGAGTTCAGGCACCGAGAGAGGAAAATCCGCGTGGAGAAGCGTGGAGATATCGTGGAGAAGGGAAACATAAGAGGTAGCAGTAAAGGGGTTGGTACAGGTGAGAGTTTGTTGAAGTCAGTTTGGATCCGTTGCGGCGACGATCCACTGATCGTAGATCGTACAAGCCGGATCCGCCGCAAATTGCCCACAGCGGAGGACGCAGCAGCAGCAGCAGCAGCAGCAGCAGCAGTAGTAGCAGCAGCAGCGGCAGCAGCAGCAGCAGCAGCAGCGGCAGAGGCAGCCGCACGTACCGACGAGAGTATGTTGGACATCGATGAACATGTTAAAAAAATCGGCATCTCCCTCTTTTCTGTGGGAAGGGGCCTCTTTTCTGTGGGAAGGGGCGCACGATTAACCCTGTTTGAAAGTAGATATTCACTTGGACTGCTGTTCATGAACCAGCAGAAGTGCACACGCGCTTACCGTAGGCACCACGGAACTTTGAGTTGTGCGGACAGCGTAGGTGGAGGATGCGAAAAAATATGTAGATTCGCTCCTGCTCTTGAGACCGCGGCGGCAGTGGTGTAGGAAAGCCGCGCACCTGCCGTGCGAGGAAGAAAAATGAAATGCTGCCGAGAGGCCCAACTTGGGTTTTAAGACTGCACACGGCTCTCGGAATTGAGAAGATCGGAAATAACGAGAATCGGGTATACCCAGGGCCAAAATAACAAGATTTCGGGTACGCCGATCTTGAACGTATCCACCTACCTTCCTACGCTCACGGCAGTGACGCAGCACCTCCCAACAAGCCCAAATCACGCAGGTGTGTTGGTTTAGGATATGGTTTAGGGCCACGGTCAGATTACAAACGCGGGTGGCCAGGAGGAGACTGCATTCAGCCGTAAGCCGAAGTGTGCGCGACCTTCACGAAATCGGCAACATGCTCGACAGGAGGCACACGGGTGAGGCATGTCACCAGAAACGGGTACAAAAGTAACCACGGACGGGTAGGAAATAACCAGAAACGGGTACTCCGCATCCCTAGTTCCCGTCGGATAAACCCGGTTATAACTGACCAAAACCGGGTACCCGGTAGGATTTTTTACTTCAAAAGAGAATGCTGTTCCCAGAAATGGTCAGTACTGTACCGGGTATACCCGTGTTTGGTTGGCGAAGTTACAAGATTCCCTGGATGCCCCCCCCCCGGAATATATATATGTTGTATATGTATGTGTGTGTGTTTCCCGACTAGACTAAGGTGATCTGCGACGCGGACTACATCGTCACGGCCGCCTGCTAATTGTTGCTGGTATGTTAAGGAGTGTTGCTGTATGGCACAGATAGGGTACACGGTCTAGATTAAGATGGGGGATTTCAGGAGGTATACCCTCTTAGGACGTACCCCATCGGGACTTAGCTATCTGCGTGCCCCCAGGTTGAGGGCAATCCGCCTCACCTCAGACCTGTAGCAGACCCGCTTCTGCAATAACAAGCAACCTTCCCATCTCAACGTGCTCGTGGACAAGAGTGTCTACGGCAGAATCTACATCTACTACATCTAGGAGGCAAGCCACCGTCGGGCGGGCAGTCCTTTAAACTTGGCGTCAGTCTGACAGGCACGGTAAGAGAGAATTGGACGCGATTCTTCCCTTTTCGTGCGCCGAGGCACCCTTTGCTCACGACCACCACGTTGCTTGTTGTAAGGTCTCACTACCCACGAGAATTTAGACTTCGCCCTTATTGGCGATTACCTGCGGGATGCCGGCTCATGATGCTTTTGCTCGTCGCTCACGAGACTGGGACCTTGCTAGTGATACGCGCATAGGAGGGCGCCGCGGTGATTCTCCCGATTTTTCTTACATGAAATGCCCATCACGAGCCATTTTGTCTGCTTCGGGAGTGCATGAAGTTCTTTCTGTGGCGGATACGTTGTGGCGGCA